ATAAGAACAGTCGTTTATATTGCGCGTGAATATAGCCTTAACTACCTCTTCAGAATAACAATATTTTTTCCCAAACACAAGTCCTACTCTATAAACAATAACAAGGAAAAAAGACCCTATTAAATTGTTTTATTGTAATCAAATGCAACTTAATTTTAAAAAGACGAGAAGGTCATTAAGGTTATATAGTTCGACGGAATATAAAATATTATTGACCCTAACGGTTGTTATATAGGAATAAAATGTCGCTGCCGACACTTGAGTTTGAACAACGATCGCCTGTGAGCAAACACAGGCGATCCCATTATTCAATTAAGTAAAAACACATGGCCATAGAGGAAATGCATCTCTAGGCGATAGTGTCTACTTGATCGCGATTCTATTCTATCCTCAACACTACACGAATCACTAGTTCTAGTCTATCCTCTATTATTATACGGATCGCTATTCTCTACTCTATTCACTATACTATTTATCTATTCGGATCACTATACGGATTACTATTCGAGCGAGTATTATCAAGCAAGTACTATTAGTGCGAGTGTTGTATCTGAAATTAAAATGTCTTTACTACAACGAGCATTACGAAAGTGAGAACGAGTATTCGTTGGCATTACAACAGTGGCAACGAGTGTTCGTTGACATCACAAAAACAATTAACTTTATTTTGATCATCAATTATAAAAATTCCAATGGCCCAATCTAATTCTTAGAAATGATTCGGCACTTCAAAATTCTTACTTCTGTAAAAAAATATTGTTTTTTTTTTATGAATTATCATGTCTATTGGGGGATTGTATATCCAAAACTAAAAATCAACAAGCAATATTAAACTATTCCATTGGTCACATATACACCACACTTTCTCATAGTTTAACTTGTCATTTATCAAACTTTGATGCAATTCGCACACATATAGATCTACATATAACGAATAACGAAAATAATATTAATATAAGATAAATTAAAATAGATAACATCAAATTATTATTTTGGACGTAAAGAAAACAAAGACTCCTAATTCTGAACGCCGTTGCAATACAAGGGAAGCAGCTGACATTAAATAAGCTATCTTCTTGGGACATCGCATACATTTTTTAAGCAAATCGCCCCAAGCAAGGCGGGAGTGTCACTAGCACGCAAGGGGTTACGCAGAGTGAGAGCAAAAGTAAAGAGGAGTGTTTGGGAAAAGAAAGACAGGGATCACGACTAAGAAATAAAAATTAAAAACAAGACAAATGATCTTTAGGGCAAAACAAATAAATACTAATACAAAAATCCCGGCAATTGTTAGAGAAATTAGAAAAAATATATATATATATATATATATATATATATATATATATATATATAACTTCAAGTAAATATTATATTCATAATACACGCCCTTGTGCAAATTAATTGAAACCGCTTTAGTTTCCTTTCTTTCACCATTTGGTCACTTTTGTCCCACTGGAGAGACAGGGTGTAATGCATTTCTATTATTCCTCATATTAGGTCATTTGCAATGGTATGCAGTAATATGAATTTATTTTAGGGGTGTATGATAAAATTTGTTTTGCCTTGAAAAATATTGCGTCCTCAGTGATTGCATCAGATTTTTATCATGCCCAGACACTATTGTCTCTACTGTCGATTAGTTATCTTACAGCCATTATCTGTAATCGACGTTACTCCAAGAAAGCGTACGAAAACTATAACAATGCACGAACACACTGGCAAGCCTTACCATTGAATAAATGAAAATACTATAGATTGGCCCGGAAACTCTCCTCATTTAAATCCAATCGAGAATATGGGATCAATCTGCAAGGAACGAGTTCGTGGAATGGACATACGAAGTACTAACATGTGAACTGAGTTATGTCTCATTAGAAAAATACGAAAAAAAATTAAATATTAACGGATTTTTTCGTTTGTTTCAATTAATTTGCACAAGAGTGTATATAATAAATGATATTAGATAAATAATAATTGCAAATTATTTTAAATTATATTAAATTATTATATTACTTTATAAAGAACGAGGTCGTACTAATATTTTTCAGTTAAATCCATTAATAATTCTTTTGGAGTTATGACAAAATGCGTCATGTTTCATTCACTTCAGAACGCCTTATAGCTTGACGCAGTTTAACACGCAATTTCAGATAAAGACTGTAGTGACAGTCGATAGCTCTTGGATTAAAAAATAATGAACTATGAAAAGTTTGCCAGTTTGACTTCTATGTCGGAAGTTTCTTAAACTTCATTATATATATATATATATATAGTTTGTGAAATAAAATGCGTACACCTGTATGCATGTAAGTCTATGTCTATGAGTGGCAACTCAAACAAATACAGAAATAAATTCCCCTCACCCACCACCAAACATAGTTAAACAAGCAAATTAGTTCCAATTTTAAAAAAATAAACTAGTTTGAGTGATGATCGCAAAAGCGTGAAACCCAGGGTTACAAACTCACATACATACAACTTATTATATAAGACCTATCACTGATATTGAGCGCTTACCACTGAGTACTGCAATGAAAAAGACCCTCTGAGGACGAAACGCGTCGGCTAAGTATAGTTTTTCCTCTTGTCTGTTTTTATTCGCATATATATATATATATATATATATATGATAAGATACGACTTTTTAAATCAAAGTCGAATATATATATATATATATATATATATATCACTGACACGACAAAAATAATTCGAAATACAAAAATAATAATAATATTCTAACATGTCAACTTTCCACCTTTTTTGGGAAAATAATCTAATTTATAAGATATAGTTGAGAAAAGAAACATTTGCCGGTCATGACGAGTGTGAAACTTGGTCGACATTTATTCGTGGATTTTCGCGATCATTTCAATGCATGGCTAGAGAGATACAACAACGCCCAACAATGATCCTTGAAGAATAGAATAACAAACAAACAAAAATAAAAACGCTTTGTAACGTTTATTTGCGGTAAAAAAAAAAAAAATTTGATATCGAAGAAACTTTATTTTTAACTCCTTAATGTAGCATGTTTAGGTACCATTCCTTTCCAAGAAACTACTAAATTCAAGACCAATCCTACCTACACCTTTGATTTTTCCAACATCCCGCCTTATTCAAGTATTATTCCAGATTACTAGATTTTGGAAGAAATTCTAACACCCAGATTACCCCCCCGACCTGCTTATTACCTGCTTTATGTTTATATTTAAAATTTTTGATATATAGAAGAAAATTGTTTCAACTACCTATATTTTTTCATACCATTCCTTTATTCAAATAAACTAAATTCGAGACCAATCCTACGCACTCTTTAGAGTTTTCCAACATAACGCTTTATCCGATTTTTATTCAAGACCCGAGAGTAGACACAAAAAAAAAAAAAAAAAAAATCACAAGGCTAAATTTTATATATTCCCTAAATGAGTGTTAAGTTTTTAAGGTGGGTGAGTAGTTTACATGTAAAATCGATGTATTAATGCACACAAAAAAATATTTTGTTAATGTTCTCTATTGTAAAACCAGAATGGCTAAGGCTATATGTCATCAATCAAATACGGTAATTTAATGATTGATTTCCAAAAAACATCTCGAAATATCAGCTAATTATTCTTCGACAAGGTGAGAAAACGGCACATATAGATTTATTTCTAGATTAAAGAGTTTTTGAAATTAAATATTCATTGTACGAAGCCTAGCATCAAACTTTCAAACATCTCATAACCTTCTCGAAGTCGTAACTAACGTCTTAGGGTAAATTACTTTGGGGATTGAGATTTTGTAAATAAATTCGTCTCAAAATGATTCAGGAATTTCGTAGAAAGCACTACAAATGATTCTTTCATTGGCAATTCGCGAGTTAGTCCGGCAGACTATTACCACTGTAATGAATTCGGTCAATCCTCTCCCTGTATGTCTCTCGCCTGTGACTTTAGTTAAGTTTAATAAATGTCTCTTTTTAAACTTATCTGCTTTTGAGTCTGTCTATATTTCTGAGATGAGGTATTATGTACATTATTTACATTATTTGGACTATTGTCCTCATCTTTGTCGCCATGTTTATTACAATGTTTCGGCCGTTGTACGCTCTGGCCTTCTTCAGGTGGTTGGAATGTCGAACTGAACCCTTTATTTCGCTCACTGGGGCAGGATGTTCTAGTTACACGTGCCATGGATGGATGTCAGTTATCAGTTATCTCCTGTTAATTTCCCTCTGAAAGTTCTCCACTGCCTTAACCGGGTATTGAACTCACACTCTTTGGTCCCTGTCACTGGATCTAACCAACGCCTTTATCCACTGTGCCATGTGTCCTTGAGACCTATAAATTGATTCAATATAATCATTCCATTTCATTCCAGTGAGAAACGTTTGTCCGAGAAGGTGCAATATGTCTCTCTCCCAGAGGTTAGCATTAGCGATACTGATAAAAGACAAGGGTTTTCTAGTTAAAAAGAAATCTGTGCATTGAATATTGTTGTCACATCTTGTCTGGCGCTTCTAGTATGCATTTAGAGACGCCTGATAAGATACAAAAAAGAATCTGCAATATTATTGATGCTGACCTTGTATCCCGGTTTCAGTCACATTCCTACCACCGAATCGTAGTTTCCCTGTTCTTTTTGTTGTTTTTTTTTATATATATATATATACATATTTTCATGATAATTGTTTTGAATAGCTTTCCACTTTGGTACTTAGACTCTATAAATTTAAACGCAGTACTAGATTGGCGGTGAGGTCTCATCATTTCACAGTTGAATTGGTTAGATATAAGTCTAACTTCTTTACTAAATGTCTCTTTTCTCGTACCCCTCGCTTGTAGATCGCTCCCCTGCCTTCTTGCTTTCAAGTAATGTTTGATCTTCAAAAATTTAATAACGTTCTCTGTTTATTGTATTTTCTCCCAATCAGTAACCCTCCCTCGCGTCTTAGTGACTTTATTGCCTTGTTTGCGATGAAATGATTGGTGAAGTTAATATTCTTTTATTGTCTCTTACAGAAACGTACCAAATGCACACCGACGGCGAAAGGTACTCACAAACATCGGATAGAATTCCAAGACTGTCGCAGCGTCAAAGAACACCGCCTCAAGTTCTGTTCGAATTGCAAAAAGAACCGTTGCTGCTATCCACAAATCACCCGTCACAGGACTATAGAGTTCGAGTGCTCCAAGCGTGAGCGGGTGCACCTCTCGTTCATGTGGATCAAAAAGTGTCAGTGCGGCCACAAATGCTACGGCAATCGAATCATAGATTCGTGAACAGGTGTCCCCCCCACGGGGGATGCACTTTCTGGCGCGCGCGCACACGTCAATTACACACACCCCGACCCCACACCCACACAAATACATCTAAATGTATAGAGAACATAAAAGGATTTAGCGAAGTTGCCATTATTTTAGCACACACACACACACACACACACACACACATATATATATATATATATATATATATATATATATATATATATATATTAGATAGGTTTTGTTAGGACTAGCACAAGGTGTCATAGTGGAACTCTCAATTGTATTGAACCTGCTACAACACTAATGGTCTGTAAGGTAGGCTTGCGAACTATTGGTCCAAGATTAGGTCTGCTTATATAATAAGTTTGCCAGAAAATCCTGACTCGCTGAGGAAGCGAAGAGAAAACAAAAGTTTATGGAACAACACCAGCATTTATTCTTCAAAATAAAGTACATTCCCGACGATTTTCTTCCAGCGACCAGCCAGCATCTGAATCTGTCCCAGATACCAGTCCGCTGGCTTTGAATAATAATAAAAAAAAACCTGTGAAAATCTTCCTTCACTTCATCAAAAATGTTGAACCTCTGGTCGCGAGGAAGTGTTCAATTGAGCGGAATAGGCCATAGTCACTCGGAACAGCATCGGGACGGAATGGTGGATGTGGAAGAATCTCAACATAGGTTGAACTTCTCCTTCGTCAACCTGGCAGTGTGTGGCCTCGCATTGTCTTACTGAAATAAAGCCCGACATCGATTGACCAAAGCAGGATACTCTTTCTTTAGTTTGTCTTACACGCGGTCCAGCCGCTGGCAATACAGTTTCGAGTTCATGGCGCGTCCGTGTGGAACAAGCTCAAAATGCAGTACTCATGAAAAATTCCACCAGACAGAGATCAAGATTTGTTGTTTTTTCCGCTTCTAAGTGAGTCAGGACTTCCTGACCAACTTAGTATATATATATATATATATATATATATATATATATATATATATATATATATATATATATATATGAAAGGCGTCAGGATCAAAGTGTGAAATGCAATATATAAATATGGCCAATTTAGTATATATATATATATATATATGAAAGGCGTTAGGATGAAAGTGTGAAATGCAATGATAGTTATCTAGAGTAAATTTATCCTAGAGTTAGTAAAGTAAATCGATGCTTGCAACTTTTTATGCGTAAACACACAATTATATATATATATATATATATATATATGTGTCTGTGTGTGTGTGTGTGTGTGTGTGTGTGTGTGTGTGTGTGTGTGTGTGTGTAAATAATAGTAATAATAGTTTTAATAATGATATAACATTGTAAATCTTTAATGACTAACAAAACCCGTAGTCCGGTAAATCTTCGCAAATTAATGTTTTTAAAGGCAAGCAGATTTTTCGTAAAAAATAAGAATGAGAACCATATTAAAACATAGACTATCAGTAGTTAACAGATAAAGAAAATTTCAAAAGACCTATCTATCTGACTTCAAGTTTTGCAGTTACACCACTCGTAAAGATCAAGTCAATCTGTTAAATAATTTGATCTTGCCGTGATGAGGGGTGTGTCTGCGAAATTTTAATTATGCTAAATATGTCTTTTGAAGTTTTCTTCATCTAATCACTATGTACATATGGAAAGGTACATCTATCCTTACGAAAGACAACTTATATATATATATAGATATATATAGCTATACATAGATATAAACAAAACAGGTTTAAGCATACACTCGCTGCAGATGTGAAAAAGTTCAAGTATTGACAACCTCGAATTTATCCAAATTCCGATTTATTCAATGGAAGTTTAATGAATGCAGGACATAGCAACTGTGTAATTTCGATTTCGAGACAAATAGAGAAACACTTTTAGTTCTAAAATATTCCTATATGCAGTGTATCCGGAGGCTAACTGTCGGTTTACAAAACAAAAATACATAACCATATATTTCCCCTTTACTCACAAATATATACTTCTGAGTGGAATGTACATTATAACATTTGAATCAAACTTTAAAATCTACATATACGGTTTTTATGTACTTGATATATTTGCCATCAAAAGCGACAGGAAACTGTACTCTTCATCTTCGGCACTGAATATTTTTCTGCTTCCTAAAGACGTTCTTTTAACGAAAAAACAATGACAATGAGCAGAAGTTGAATGAAAGAAAAAGATGGCGGGCCAAAAAAAAAAAAATTAGCACGAATCGAAATAACAGACGACAACGCAAAATGTTTCAAATATTTTGCAGAAAATAGTGAAGACATTGTTTCAAGTATATATATATATATATATATATATATATATATATATATATATATATATATGTGTGTGTGTATGTGTGTGTGTTTCATTAAAGACGACACACCAGGTACTGTGATGAAGCGTTTTATTCAATTGTGTTCGTACAAGAAAATTTGAATAGAAAGCTTAATTGCAGTAATTAATGAAACATGTATAAAAGAGGAATTGCTGCCCAAATATTCTCTCTCTCTCTCACTCTCAATCACTCACTCTCTCTTTCTGTCAATCTCCCTCTCTTTTTCTCTCTTTATTCTTTCAAACATATTTGGTTGAATATCAAAAAGTTCTGTCTATCAATTTTTATTAGATTTTTCATATTTACGAGTAACTTGTTTATGTTATCGGTAAATTTGACAAAGTTCATATTTATTTTTATTTTCTATTATTTTTTAAGCGTATTATAAAATAAAATATATAGAAGTAAATATAAAAATAAAAGTAAATATGAGATTTGTCAAATTTACCGATAACTTAAAAAACGAATTCGAAAATATGAAAAATTTAATAAAAAATTTAATAGGCTGAACATGTGGCTAATAGTTAACCAAACTTGCTTGAAAAAATATATATATATATACCAAAAACTGTAAAGAGAATCAGCAAGTCTTAAAATTGAAAGTTTACACACACATATATATATATATATATATATATATATATATATGAAAAATTTATCAGAGTCAATCTGTAGAAAAAGACAATATTTATAAAAGTGAAAGACAATAGGAAAACTTTATTATTAGTCGACGCGTTTCGTCCAATGTGGACTTTTTCAAGGCAAAAACGAAATGAATTTATTAAAACAAAGTAACTATTAATAACAAAATAAAATGTCCTTAGCAACTGGAAGAATTTAGAAAACACTATTGTATTCATTAATTCTTCCAGTTACTAAGGACGTTTTGTTTTGTTATTAATAGTTACTTTGTTTTAATGAATTCATTTCGTTTTTGCCTTGAAAAAGTCCACATTGGACGAAACGCGTCGACTAATAATACAGTTCTCCTATTGTCTTTTTACCTATATATATATATATATATATATATATATATATATATATATATATATATATATATATATATTTCTATAGAAGAAGAATATAAGACGTGCAATTGCCAACATATTCAAAGAAAATGATAGATAATTGATTGGACTCCAGTATGCAGTGAATTATGAGGTTAACCCAAATTCACTATAAAGTTTTGAACATTTTTCAATAATTTTTTATCGCACAGGAAGTAAGAAAAAGTCTCTTTCAATAAAAAGAAATGAAAGAAAAGAGACAGCAGGAAGAAATATATATATATATATATATATATATATATATATATATATATATATATATATATATATATATATATGAAGAAATAAAAGAACTGAGGTTTTAACAGACAACCAAGAAAAGAAGAGACTTTTAAAATGCCAACGGAACGAAACCCACCTATTAGACCCATTTAACCAATAACTTACAGGAAATATTAAGCAAAATAATAAAAGATATGAACTGAAACAGACGAACCGACGCAAAACGGATAACGAAACATGATGGATTAAAAATTAAAAAAAAAAACAATAACTTTTCCCATATATATATATATATATATATATATATATAAATGCATGACAACTGGAACCTACTAAATGAAACACATAAATATCTTATACACATGTGTGTATACATTTACACATTCATACATCACACGTTCGAATGTATCCATGAAAATATAATATCTTAATATCAACGATGCTTGATTATATGTCTTCAAATGTATTACAATATAATTTAATTACACACATACATGAATACGCGCACACATGAATATATATATATATATATATATATATATATATATTCTTTTTTACAGAAAACAAAAAAATAACATAAAAATATTGTTTTTATAATTAATTACCAGAGAGATATCTTTAACTTTTTTCATTTCATTAAAACCCTTAAGCGTGTAAAATTGTGTTTTATACACACGTGTATATTTGTATATACCTACGACAGTGACTCACTATGCGTATATACATATACATTTTAAAACTTATAATACATGTATATATATATATATATATATATATATATATATGTATACATACATGTACAAACAACTTACACACAGCATATAGCATCTATATATTAATGTGTATGTATATATATATATATATATATATATATATATATATATATATATATACATATATATATGTGTGTTATACAAATGAAATACAAAGTGGAAGAAATTTTCTGACGCGTTTCAACCTCTAGAAGGACTTCATCAGAAGAAAACGGACGAAATCTGCAACACAGAATATTTTCCACTTTGTCATTCCTAACAATTTTATGATATATAGAAATATGTATATATATATGTACACATGTATACATATTAATATGCATTCCTGTATTCCCACTAATTTGTGTACACATTCATGTGTACCTATATATTAACTGACATATATCTGAATTCATATATACATATATAGATATACACCTTTAAATACATATATATTCTCACATATATATGTATCTATATGTATTTAAACGTATATAGGTATGTAAATATATACATGTGTTGATATTTACATTCAAACATTTGATAGCATTTGATGTCAAAATATTTATTTTTACAAAATAGGCAGTTGCTTAGAGACGACAGATTAAAATAGCATTGTTCTTGTTTAGATTTAAGACGGGAAG